ACGCCTGAGCGTCGCCTCTGAAGTCGCTCCGCCGGCGCAGGTGGGGCGAAAGAGGCTCTTCGTGGAGGCACCCTTCGCCGCCAGCGACTGGGCGGATGTGCCGAAGCCCAGGCGTCGTGCGATCGAGCGACCGGGGAGTTCGCTGCGACTCGACCAGCTGAGAGAAGGAGACATAGTGTGTCGCCAGGTGTGTCGCCAGGAGTGGGGTGGTGAAACCTAGTCGTCTAAGTGTGGGTTGCAAGCATCAGGAAATCTCGGTTTACGTGCGTGTCGTTGGGCAAAGTAGGCGGGCTAAGATAGGCCAAGAGGCCAGGATATTGCAAACTCTGTGTTTAGCAGCAGAAAGGGAGACTGGACTTTGGTTAACTTGTTTAGTTTATTGGAGTGAAAAAACATATTGCATGACTGGAAACCATTTTTTTCGCACCAGGAAGGTGTGATTCTGGTTCCGTACTGTGTTCGTGATTTCCCGTGGAAACCATCGCTGAGGATTGCCTGACCGCCAATTATGTGCGTTTCGATTTCGGACCAAGGTCAGAAATGCCTTTCAAGAGATTCAGCCTTTGCTCCACCGACATGGCTTTGCATCGCTTTGCGTGCGTCGAAGAGTTGAGCCTTTGAAAAGCTTTGGGGTGGGTGTAGAGGGTCCAAATACCTTCTGAGGAGGTACTTGGAGCCCTAGATATGCAGAAAACCTCTCAAGAACTGCTTTCCAGTGGCGCACTCCCTCTCCCAGCTCTCCCAGCTCTCCCAAAACGCACCTGGTTTTCGCAAGCCGGCCAGATGTGCCTTGGACTTTTACATCCACGAGCGGTGCCCCACATTTCGAGGAAGGACTTGGGCAAGTCTTGGGAGATCTTTGGAGCCTGGGGCTGAAGAAATCGGTTCGGTCCAAACACTACTCACTTCGAATCCCGGTTCGCTCCAGGAGGTGAGATGGCCCCGGTGAGACAGAGAGGCCTCTGTCAGATCCGCCCCTGCCTTCGTCTAACGCCTCCTTTTCGGCCTTTAGACTCCCGGAGGACCGTGAGAGTTTGCAACGCTAGCCACAAAAAGCCCGTCCTCAAGCAGTTGGTGTTGGTCTCATGGACAGGAGTTGGTCTTTAGGTCCTCGATTTCGAGTTGCGAAGGAACAGGTTCCAAATAGCTTAGTTTCAAGATCTCTAACCAGAACCCTACGATCCCTCGCCCCAAATGGTGTTCATGCATCGCTCTATAGGTAGCCCATCCGGAGCAGGCCGCCGTACGACAGACCTTAGAGCCTTCAGTCTCACCCCGGACCACCGTTAGACGACCCGACCACTGCGCGGGACCGTCCGGCGGGGTTGGCAGGTACCAACGCTCGGGCTTTGGTCGACAACTCTTCGATGCCATGCTTGCACACGAGCGAAGCTCACCGGAGCGGGCGACGTCCGGCGCGGGGCGCGTTTGACGGGCTTTACATATTATATATACACTCATCATGGATGACTTGGTCACCATCTCCAGGTGTTCGCACGAATAAAGATCGGGTTAAAACCCCCTCAAATATTGATGGAAGTGGATGGCATTCCCTTGGATGACCATCTTCCTCCACGATCAGGTGGTTTTCCACTTCCATGATTTTTAGTGTACGCCTTTTTCTCAGTTTCTATTCGGTGTTTAGCCGCGTTCATATCGATTGATGCGGCGCATTGCCAAACCAAACCTGGCGTGCCAAACCAACTTGTCAGGCACGGTACCTCTGAAAGAGCTAGTCGAAGACGATTCTAAGCCAATGTTTGGAGCAAAGGGGTGGGTTTGGAGGGTCCAAATACCTTTTGAGGAGGTACTTGGAACTGGAGGGTATAAAAAATCGACAAACTCTATGGTGTGGGGGGAGAAGCCAAAGGGCAAGGGGGGCAGACCATGACCATCCCCTGTTTGTTTATATTTGTTTTGTCCATTACTCAAGATGCTAGTTGATGTTAATTGGTTTCTGGTGTACTGTGTTGCTATGTTTGAGCCACATCGCCATCTCATGGCAATCATCCTTACTCATAGTCGCTTCGTCGTTCCTTGGCTCCTTCCTTCCGTGCAGGAGCTGCTGGGATACGACCGTCCGTCACCCAAGTTGCTGAGCTTTCTCAGTAAGCACTATGGTCTTCGAAAGTACAAGGCTTGGATGGGCAGTCGCTGGATGTCGCTGGGCGATTGATCTTAAGGTCTATAGGTCATGGACCTTTGATTGCTGAAACCAGAGTTGGATTGTCGCTGCCGCCTTGCCAGCCTCAAAACAACAACTTCGTCGTCTATGATGACTTTTGGTCTCAGCCGCTCGCTCAGACCGGTTCCAATGGAGAGCGGAGGGAGAGGACGGTTACTTTGCGATGTCAGACATCGTGAAAGTATTGTATTTACTAAGAGGATTGAACGTGTTGAAGTGAAGTTGGACAAGTTGGGCCTTGGGCAAACGATGCCATGCGTCTCTTTTTCCATCTTTTTACAATCACCACGTGGAAATCTGAAGATTCTAAAGCCTGGTACAGGATGTACAGGTAACTTCAACATGAGCTGGCAGGTTTTCAGCTTGGCAGATGCAAACAGCTGAGGGACTCGTCTCCCATCCACCCCAACGCACCGAGCGGGCTGAGGGCCGAGCGGGCAGACCCCAGGGCCGACGGCCGGGCTGCGGATCTCCGCACCTGCAGGAAACGGAGCACGCGACTGGTCGCGTGGTGGGTGGGGGGGTGCTGACCCAACCAGAAGTGGCGATTCAAGTTGAAATGAGCAGATGTGAATGAGGTGTACTGGGGGTGAAGCCATTCCCTAACAGCCAGAGATGCAAATTGGTGGGTGTTCTGCAATGATTAGAGAATACAGCGCAGAGAGTATTGTACTACAAAGGTAGAGAATGGCGGAACTTGGACAAAAGGACCTTCTAAATCCTCCAGAACCATCAGAACTAAATGGGCATGTCCTTTGTTTTGTGACTGTCAGACTGGCCCATGAAGACGTTCTTTCAACATAAGGATCACGACATCATGAGGAAAATTCTGATACGGTTTGTACAGCTTGGGGGGAGACGATAGACGGGTGCCTTGACAGAATCGTGGAGATAGACTCCCTGAAACCATCATCGCAGTGGAAGACACCACCTGTTGAGTCTTCGGAACTCGGGGCCCATCCCCGTAACCATGGGTTTATTGTAAGGGAGTGTGCACTCTTTTCACACCTCACATGGATGGTTACCTGGGATGGCATGGTTCCGAGTTCGGAAGAGGACTTGACACTTGACACATGGATCTTGGAAGACTTTACTTGGAAGACTACTATACTCAGTATACTCACTAACTAGGTCCCTTGGAAGTGGAAGCCTTGTTTTTTTACTTGTTTTTCGACTTCCATGTGATGTGTTCGTCGGAGTGTCGAAGAATTCGAAGGCAAAGTGCTGGCGATCGAGCACGCCCGGCACGACCCAAAGGCGGGATCCGATCCTCTGGGAAGGGCCGAGGTTCCGGGATGGGGGCGCGGAGCTTAAGCCGCTTGCTATGTCTCTAAGAAGTGCCTAGAAATTATATATATAGTGTGCATCGTCTTATAGACGTCTATACTGTTATGCAGTCTATCTATCTATCTATCTATCTATGCTTTGTGTGGAAACAATCTCTAATGCAAGCGTGGAAGATGGAAGAGTGACGTGTTAGTGGTGTCCAAATTGCCTCCCCATTGCCAAGCCTCAGTCGGCATCCTGGATGCAGAACTTGAATCACACCACATGCGTCCGAAAACTATATTTTTGGCCCATGCCATTACATCCATCACCCCCGTTGCCATTCTTTGCCCTTTTCGGGTTGACCTCATTCACACCTTTGGCACGTAGTGGTTGTGTTTTTTTCCCCCCCGAGCCAAAGTGACCTTTGCCTCTAGGACTGTCTCGAAAAATTCTGACCTCTTCAGGGACAATTCGTGATCAAACATCCTGGGATCTCAAGTTTGGTTAAATTAGAGTAGCCCTTGGAGTCCAAAGGACAAGACAGTCATAGTCGAGCAATTCTAGACCATGACTTACTAGTAAGTTAGAAGTCCTGGATCCATGATTCTTGCCCGGTGCAAAGAAAGATGATGTGTCACATGCTTGTCGCGCGCTAGATCCCAAAGACTTCCGACGCCGAAGCGGCAGGTCAAAAGGACCTCTTCTCGCGCCCGGTGGAGCATCCGCGGCAAGGGCAACGCGTCGGGGGGCCTGTGAAGGAACGCGGGACCGTGTGGATGCGGCCGGTTTGAGAGCCGCAAAGTGGCACGAAGGTGTATCACATCATTGCTGAAGAAAGCAGTTCGTCAAGACACCTGCGTTAGTTAGAGGGACCATCAAATAATTTTTGTAAATTGATTTGACAGATGTTCTCCATCCCAGGGTGGTTTGGTGCTGTGGGTTCTTCGACCTTTGGTGATGACTTTGGTATTGGAGTTTCTGGCGAAAACTCGGTTTTGGGATTTACCTCACATTGGAAGGTCCGCTTTCGAATGATGTCTCTGATGACTCTGATGTCTCCAAGTTTCTGCTACAGGCAATTGAATAGTCAATTGCGGCGCATGTGCGGAAGGAAACTACCCAAGACCCGGGTGACAGAGGGTGACCCCTGGTGACTCGAAGGCGATGGAAGGCATTCCCTCGCTGGGTCGGTCGACCAGCGTGCTTTTCACATAGACAGCCCAGTGGTGCATTTCAGGCGAGGAAAGCAGATGGGCTGCGGCTGAAGAGCCTGTATTTGTTGGAATGCGACCACTCCGGTGATAGTTTATTTGTTGCCTTGGTGTGAGTCAATCTAAGCAATTTGCTCATCAGGCAATGAACATCGAAGCCCAAGATCACGACGACACGTCTTCCATTTTTTACATAACAGACCTTTAGGATCAGATCCTTTAGGGCGACAGTCACTGTCACTACCACGAGCTTGTGTTGCTTATTCATGTTTGATCGTTGTTGCAAACTCCAAGATCTGAGTTGGAAAGGAACACCATGATATCGGTTTTATTGACACAAGGTGTCTTTACACATCTCTTGCTGCTTTAGCTCCCCAATGGGGAGCTCCACTCCAGCCAATGGGCGAAGCTGCAGTAGTAGCTACACTACTCGCTTCCAGTGGTCAATGGCTCGCTGAGCGATATTGGCTCCAGGCGGAGATTGGCCTCACACTGGGCGCTTTCTCTCGCACCCTCTGGGACGCCCGGGCGAACGCCGGTCACCGCGGCCCTTCGCACTCGCCGGGCGCATGCGGCATCGGGTCGGAGCCGAGGGAGAACGCGGAGATCCACGGCGTGCAGGGGGAGGAGACGGTTCCACAGCAGCCGGTTCCGGAAGTGACTTTGGGCGACGCGGAGTCGGGTTCCATCTCGGAGAGGTGTGCGGACGAAGAGGTGGATGGGCTGAAGGACTGGGAGGGAAGGCAACTCTTTTCGGTTTTGGGATCTGTTGAAATATTAAAATATTTAAGAAATATGTTGGGATATGTTGTAAAGTCGATCAGTTTAGTAGTATATGGTTTCTCGAATGAGTTCTAGTTCTTTTGCAAGGTTTATTGGCCAGAAAATGCCGAGACTGGCTGCTCACAAGGGTTCCAACTACATCCTCAGAACAGATCTTGGCTTTTATTAGTAGGGGCATCGCTGGAGTGACAGCAAGATGTGTGCATTTGTTTTGTACAAATTGGAACAGAACACATCTTTGGACATTGGTGCACAAACACAATGTTAGCAGATTGATGCATGATACTTTTTTATACTTTTTTACTATATTCATGGATATAGTGTACCGGGGCAATGGCATGAAACAGAAACAGATCAATCGCACGCGTGTTGTTTACTATACATGAGGTTGATAAATGGTTTTGGTGATGTCTCTGTACAACGGCACCGCGATGGTGCCTTAAACACTTTATGTTTGACATGATTTTGCGAAGTCTGCCACCGCGATGGTGAACCGGCATGTTGTGATGGTGCCTCGAAGCATTTGGCCAAGCGAACAGGGGGAGTTAGGGCGCAACAGAAAATCTAAGGTTTTTTTAGAACTTGAACCCGGAACGATCACGGCAAGCACGAAGACTTATGGCAGATTTTGCTGTTTGCTCTTAGCTGGGAGCAAAAGAGTTAGAGCAAACAAGTATATGAACAAGACCCACCGCCCACCATTCTCCAAAAAAATCATGCTGGATAGACCCTCCAGCCTCACCTGAAAAAGACCTTCAATAACAGGAAGTTGTTGGAGTTGCAGAAGCCGCTCGACCTTTGGAAGACTTATTCCTCACACAGGACGACCTGGAATCGACTCTGCACATGGCTCACCCGACATCGACTTCCCAGGATTTGGTGCCGTCCGCAGAGCCCACGGAGCCGGACTTGGCAGATCCTCCAGCCATCTCTGAGGAAGCTCTCCATCCGTCGCGTGACAAGAACCAAGCATGCAAGAAGCGAAAACGACCCGGTTTGATGAACTCGGTGGATGGTTTCGGCAAGAGACTACGACTCCATTCAAGTTCCTTCAGGTCCAGTAGGATGTGTGGCGTACACATTCTCGTGCACGGTCATCGTCGGCCATGAACGTGATCGAGAGGTGAGACCAGTGTGATCGAGAGGTTGGCCACACGGTTTGGGTGTTTCGAGAGGTTGCTAATGTCAGATTATGTACAATATCGTCGGCCTTGTGACAATCTGCTTGGCCTTGCGTCATCGATAAGAAGTCGTTCTTGCGGGGGAGTTCAAGACGAAAAGAGCTCGCTTTTCAGAGGCAAGCAGTTCCAGACTATAGGGATTAAGCTGCTGTGACCAGACAAACCATGAACTCAGTTTGCACTTGACATGTGAAGGCTTCTTGAGGCCGCGTCGGCCTGCCTGATATTTCATGAAGAGAGTCAAGAGAGTTGGTTTGCCAACCGACACAGCCTTTGCAGTTCAAGTTGTTGGCCTCCACTCCGTTTCGCTCCCTTGGCATGATGGCGCGGGCACTTCTGGCCATGCTCAGTGGTGGCATCGTGGTTGTTGGGGGAACCACGACTACAACGACTCAATCACTGGGACTTCCTCAGTGGGATGAGATTACTGCTCAAGATGATCCCGGGATATGCCATGCTTTCACATTCTTGAATGGCTGCACTCTTTTCATCTCAAAACCCCCTTTTTCGTTGCAGTTTGAAGACGTTGTGAAGCTCATTGCGAATTTGGGTATAGTATGGTATAGTTCAACTGTGTTCGTGAAGGGCTGGAGAAGTTGAATTGAAGACAGGCACCCCAGCGACCCCAATGAATGCCTTTGAAATAGCTTTAATAACTCAACAACAAAACTGAAGGCTGTTTGGAAGCCTGCCAACAAGGCAGTTGGAATTAGATCGATATAGCTTGAAACAATAGGTTGAGTTTGTTTGTTGAGAGGTTCTCAGTGTTGATCAGAGCATTCCTAAGGAGAATGTGTCGGCAGTGGAAAAGCTGGATGTGCTCGACGCAAGCACTTGGACGGTGCCGGCACGAGTAGGATTTTGCCCTGTCCATCAGCCAGCGCAAATCGCCGTGACGGATGGCAACGTGGAGATCGACACCACGTTGAACCAGAGCGTGATATACAGCATCGTGGAGGGGCAGCTGCCTCAAGCCGCTTTGAGCAGCGACTTGAGCAAGTATGATGGCCTGGAGATGGCCTTCAGCAACAGCAAGGTGAGCCACTTCAAGGTGCGCCTGAGCGATTCCAGGCAAGAGGTGCGATTTATCGCGGCAGTGAAGGTGAACAATGACGGTCCTCACAATTTGTGGTTGAAGTGGAGTGACTTTCATGGTGAAGAGCTCATGATGCGAGGTCTTCGTCCCTGTGAGGAGACCTCCGCATGCCGCAACATCATGCCAGCGACCTTGTCCTCCATCGCGGTGCTGCTACCGATTTCAAGCGAAGAGGCACCTGCCAAGTTCACCATTCAAAGGTTAACCCTTGACATTCTGCAGCGAGGAGGTCAGAATGCAACAGACTCCACAGACTTGCGACCTTCCTCAGAGGCGCAAGAGATTTGGTTCGAGACTACGAACGCCAATAGTATGATCAGCTTCGCCCAGAACTTGAACCTCGGTGTTTGGAGTATGCTCAGTGTCCTGAGCTTCATGAGCATGGCGTAAGCTTTGCTTTGCTGTTTTCTTCGCGGCTTGCCCGTTGGTTGGGGAAGGTTCACCCCAAGCCAAGAGCACTTGGACCATGGAACGCCACAGTGACCAAGTCAACTTTGTGGCCCATGACTTTTTCGCCCTGTTTTTCTGCTCGCAGGGCCCAGGGTCGGCTGCAGATCCAGACTTAAGAGATCAGACCCAGAATTGCCTGGCGATGAAAACAGGATGGTTTTAGGCTCTTCTTGCTCTTTGCTGAGATGATGAACCATGATCACATGATATGACATGCATGGCTTCCGTGGCTACCTCAGTGCAGTATTACTTCCTTGTTCATCTATCGATGACCTCCACCCTAGTAGCGATGTGTGATTGACGAGTAAGAAGCCATGCTTTGCAAGGCAGCGCTTGATTGGCCGCATAGATTCAAGAACAGCACCTGATATGTGACTCTAGACTCTACACTTTCTTTGAGCGTTGGACCCTGGTATTAGTTTGGATCCGAATTCATGTCATTCGATTTGATTTGCTCATTTGACCCAGTTGCCGCCGATCTTCTAATCGTTCGGAAGCCCAGATTGTTGGAAAAGAGACCTCTGAAAGTCTGCCTTGCCACTGGAGTCATCTTCCAATCCCCTTGCGTTGTAAGGGATTGATTTTGTCAAGGCTCCACCTAATTAGTAGCTTCTTGTTACTAGTATTGCCAGGAGCTACTAGTAGCGATTCCCTTGTAACTAGTAGAATCTTGTTACTATAGTAGGAGCCATCGCTACTAGTAGCTAGAAGAGCGCTAGAAGAGCTTTGGAGTTGCGTTTTGATCTTCGCGCTGTTCTTGACTAGGTCGAGGACTCCACTCGACTCGCTGAAGACTTGCGGTTCGTTTTCGTGTAGAGTTCTCAACCCGCTTATTGACAGTAGAGCCGGCTTCAGCCGGCTGAAGAGCAGCATGAAGTGTTTGCTCCAATTCGGCTTGGCGATAGGTGACATGACTGGAAGGTCCTTGCCAGGTCCAACCCTTCACCCGAATCTTCAGCGGAGGTGTTTAAGAGTTTGTTTGGACACCCTTGCGGGCAACATAGCATATAGCATATAGTTTGTTTGAAGGAAACTCAAGACAAGAACCTGATCGCGCGAACTGCACACCCGACTTTTCCAACAGCCTTTTGTGGGTTGCTACATTAGTTTGGATTGTTGACATTGTTGTGTGAATCTATGTTAATCTTGCGGGCACCAAACAAATTCATCCACGCACAACTCAGGTGAATACTTCAAAAACATGGAGTGAAAATCGTGAAGATACTCGAAGCTACTAGGTTTTTCAGGCCATTGCTACTAGGTTGGGGGGCCATCACTACTATAGTACCAATAATGTTTTTGAAGCTTCTTAGTAAAGTACCAGGACCCTCCAAGGGGTGCCCAATGGAAGCCTATAGGTAGTGTGGGGTAGTCCATTGGACACCCCTTGGAGCCAGGTAGTGAATTCTGTTTGTTGAAACATGGAGCTTTCAACCCAGTCGGACCCACCGGCCAATTCATCCGCTGCACCGGTCCGTCACCCTCGCCGCGTTGCACCGGTCGTCGTTTCGGACCGCGTTTCACCCGAAAGACGGAGGGCGCGGGTCGCGTGGTTTCGGTCGGGAATGGGAGGCTGACAGAGTAAGTACAGAGACTATACGGGGGGCACATCACCCTCATCATACATCCATCATACATCCAGGTTGAGGGTATTTTACTACATAAAAGACTATAAAAAGAGAACATGCATGCATTCGTTGATTCAAACTCATGTGCCTGGCAGCTCGGTGGATTTCAGACCCTTCTTCTACATGCACCCCACCCATCACGCCAGTGCACCCCACCCATTTGCACCCCAAATGGGCACTGCTAAGGAAAAAAGATCTTGTGCAATGATTGCAATGAGTCTAGATTAGATATATTGACAAATCTATATATATATGATATATTTAATGATGTTTAATATATATATATATACACATCAGTGTGTCTATGAATATATATATATATATATTATGCCAATCTTAGTGCCAATCTTGTGAAGCCCAGGCCATGCATGGGACTGGAATAGTTGCGTACATTTACCCCATGAAAATGACCCATCCACGTAGGTACTGTAACATTGAGTACTATAACTATATATAATATATTCCATACAAACATGGATCGTTTTGGAAGTGCCCGTTGGCCATTCTAAACTGGTTTCAGGGCAGCTGCGAACACCGATGCGAAGACAAAAATAGTGAGTCGCGAGGCCAAGGATTAGTTTGTTGGTGAAAAGTCGTGAAGGCTTGGCTTCCAAAAACGTAGAACTGGGCTTCCAAAACACTTGGATCGCCTCAAGATGTCCCGTGCCGTTCCAAAAAACGACAACGTGTCACCGAGAGCATGTCCTGGAGGAGATCAAGCAAGAGAGCAGCAGCTGATTCCTACCAAAGTTTCCAGTATTTTTCAGGGACCGATTGATTATAAGTTGTGTTCAATTCCCGGAACCTCAATTCAACATCGCACCTGATTTGCTTTTTGCGCAAGGGGTGGTGGCAGTTGTTTTGTTGTTTTCCACAAACAAAGCTAATCAAAAAAAACACCTCTTGGCAGCAGCAAGCGAAATTGTGTTGCACTCTTGCTTTTTCTTTCTTTGGGAGGGTAGGTTTGGCAGAGTTGTGCGCATGGAAGATGCGAAGGAACATCATGTGTGAACCATCATTTCAGACCTTTTAGAATGCAATATATCATCCAAACTCAAGTATCTATCCCAGACTTGCTTTAAGATGAACATCTACACAGGGTTCACCATGGTTTTCACCCCAAAAACTATGGGTGTCCTGTTTTCCCCTTCACCACGGGTGGATTCTTTGAGGTCAAAACTGATCGACCCGTGTTGAATGTGAGAGGCCGGCCGGTACAGCCAGATAGTAGCAGTGTCCACATCCCAGCTTCTGACTCTGAGAATTTCCAAGGTATGCCACCAGTATTCACCACATGCACGTTCATTCATGGAAACTTCTTCCACAGATCGAGTCGTCGCGGAAGCCGATCGGTGAAAGTCTGCCAAGCTCCACACCGTTAGTGCGGCGACGCGACCGTCGCCCGCCATCCGCTGCCCAGTTCTGCAAGCTGCGCGCGAGCGAGCCGTCGTGCGCAGCGGGGCCCTGAACACTTACGTGTTTGGTGTTTCATTCTGTTTCAGGAACCCAGTAAGATTGAAGTTGTTATTAGCATTTTAAAGGGATGCATTAGCATAAAGCGCTCACACGACTTCCAACCAGATGGAGCATTCATTGGGTCTACCTACTTTTCTGCCATGCCTCATGAGTCAGAGGCACTGTTGCGGTGGTCTACAGTGACGATGTTCAGGGCGAATGCTGGGGGGGCAGGTGGCTGAATTCCGCCTCAGGTGCTTCCCCGTGACTCGGCGGATCAGCTGGTGCAAGAGAAATGCTAAGCTCACTGAATCTAGTTGCATGTTACAGGAAGCTTGCCATACAGTGTCAAACCTTCTTGAGCCGGATGGCAGCTGCAAATCTCTTGGATGGGTGGACCAGTGGACACCTCCTTGACCCTCCTCCAGGAGACCCTGTTTGCAATCAATCTCCATGCATACCCAAAGTCTCCAAGTCAGAGCCATTCTGCTCCAAATTGCTCGGCCCGGCCTCCCATGGCGGCCTTTGCCATCGCAGGGCCCAGCCTCCCATGGTTCCCGACTGCTCCACTGGCCTCGCCACTGGCTTCGCCACCGGCTTCGTCCGCTCCGCGCCCGGCGACGTCCTCCACCGGTGGAGCCGCAGCAGTGTCGGCCGGAGCCGCGGCGGTGTCGGCCGTTTCGGCTGCGCGACGGAGCAGGGTGACACGAAGGGCTGAGGCCAAGGTGGCCACTGAGGAAGAGGAAGATGTCTACTACCGCAGTGCAGCTGGGCAGAAGGTGATAGGAGACTATACCTGGACCCTCCAAGGGGTGTCCAATGGACTACCCCACACTACCTATAGGCTTCCATTGGGCACCCCTTGGAGGGTCCTGGTATAGTTAGTTGTATAGTTTTATGGCCACTTGGCTGCAGCATGCTGCAGCCAAACCTTTTGACAGCTGAAGATGACCACTGGCCAAACCTGCACCATGCAATTCATCCACGACTTGCTATATGCAATCTCCAGCTTCTTCAGTTCGTGACCTCTTTCCAGTGCCCAGTCGTGCCCAGTCCAGAACCCAGCCCCTTTTGTGATTGAAGAACCAGGAATGTGCACTTCTTCAACTCAATCAATGATCCCCGATTCAATTTCTCAGAACGCCGATTCAACTCATCGAGTGAGCTGGAAGCCTGTGCACCTGGAGTGGCCGGGTTTTGTCTCATGAACCGTGTGGAGTGGTCGGACGGGGTTTGGGATCTCAATGTCCCGCGGTGTTGACGAAGGGCTGAGGCCATCGCTCTTAGGTTGGAGGTAATTGCTCTTAGGTTGGAGGCTGTCGCTCTTTGGTTGATGGCCATGCTATTACTGTAGGTTGTTTGGAGTGTTTGGGCAACGGCATTTCACCAAGGCCACTCCCAGAGAACGGCAGTTTGGCATGTACGAGAGCCCTCGACGAAGAAGATCATCTTCTCAGGGAGCAGTGGAAGTGCCCTTGTCGCAGCTACATGTCGTGGCTGCTCAGCGTCAGCTGCCTATGCTTTTGGAAGCACTACCTGAAACAGATGCATCAGAAGCAATCTTTGTTCTTTGGCTGCTGGAAGGGAAGATTGTTTTGTTATGTGTTGTTGTTTTGACCATTTTACTTAGTTTGCAATCACCAGCAATTTGTGAGTTTTAATTTACACATTTTCGTGTGTTAAAGTTTCGGGGGTCTCAAGGGTGAAAGGCAATTCAATATCACTTGTTGTGGGCTTCTTGATTGACTCCCATCATCTTGTGACCATCAAGAAAACAGCATGAGACCAAGGCATAGGGAATAGACACCCTGATTGTTTCACATTTGACTCGTAGCGAACCCCAAGCGGCTCGCTGTTGTAGGTAGACTAGAGTGACTAGGGACTAGGAAGACTCCCAAACTACTGGGTTTTAGTCCAGACACTTGTACTGATACTCCCCCAATACGTAGTTCAGTGCAATACGCACACACATGACCCGGATGTGTTCTTCATCCAAGCAAAAAAGCTCCTTAAGATCATTGTTTTTTGTAGGGCAAAGCCGCATGTTTCGGACTTTGGGGCTGACATTTCATAGTGTTTGTCTTCGTCTTCTTCTGCTACCGATGCATCGTCTTGCGACCCAACGACCCATTCCAACCGGAACCTTCGCGCCGCCCGGGCACCGGCCGCGGAGCACCGTTCGACCGAGGCCTGGTCCGAGCTGCTGGTGGCCTGTCAGGCTCAGGCGCCTGAGCTGCTGAAGACCTGGAGCTGTGGCATTGGACCCTTGTAGCTTGGAAGAGACGAGGGGCTGCTGCGGGGCGATCGCTGAAGTGGATCGCAGGAGAGAGGAGGTTTCCGGTACTAGGACCAACAAGCTGCGCAAGCTCAGTTCCACTTCCATGAAACAGCATATTATGTAACAGGAACTGAGCAGCTTGCGCAGTTGTTACCCCATGAGCTTAATATGATGAATATGTAACTGTTATGATTAATATGTAACAGGAGCTTTTTGTGTAGAATGGCGTAGTTGTTACCCCAAAAGGGTGAAGATCTTGGGAGTTGAAGATGCTCCGACCTGGAATTGTGGTCATTTACTTTTCGAAGTTCGAAGTGAAAGAGTCCTAGGGGTCCTAGGGATCCACTGCCACCTTGGGCCCTCCAAGCCTACATAATATAAATGGGCGCCCATCACCTGAGAAGGTACTTGGGTCCCTATACAGGATGGTGAAACCGATCACGGTGTTGGATACCCAGTGGTTTTACACCGAGGTTTTCCAGGCCCCTCAGCGCCATCAGGTTTTCGTCAAGATGATCTTGGAGATCTCAAACGAAACTCATCATGTCCAATGCACGATCGGAGGGGAATCATGGGAATCATGTGTTGTTCTCGACGTTTTGGGTCATGGGTCTTTGAACGAGGGCCCTGAACCCCTAAATCAACCTCCAGGTGAAGCCGGCCCTAAGTGCCCTCAAGTCCGGTCTGTCATTCGAATACCGTAATTCATACCCCCCAACTGTTCACGGTCCGCTCGACCGCTCGAGCTGCACGACGCGGCACGACCCGGCACCGGCGCCGCTGGCGCACGGGAGACCGCTCCGGAGGCTTCGGCTGGCTGTGGCCGTGCCCAAGGAGCAATGGCTGCGGAGTCCGAAGGCGTGCATTGACGGTGAGACCACACAGACGTCACCACGGGTGGAACGAAAACACCGAAACATCTTGGCCCCGAATGCTTGAGATTAGTGGGGGGGAACCCCACTCCGGGCTGGGTTCTCACCAACGACCTTCTTAGAAGGGACTGGGATGGGTTGGTTGGAGGGTCTATGTGATCTTCGACCAGACCTTTGGGATGCCACCGGCTAGGGTGTTCTGAGGGGGGGGTGGTCTTTGGGATGGCTATGGAAGTTGGTCGAGTCCAAACACCCCATGGTTTCTTTTGGACCCGTTGACATTTTCGAGTGCGTTGATCATCGTTGATCAAATATGATCAAATTAGTTCATGTTGCAAGGAATCATGGTTAAGATAAGATCAAATCCACCCCTGGAACAATTCAGATCTTTCAAAACCAGCGGAACGAAAACTGCACATCCCACAAGACTACAGTCAATGCATGTTCAAAATCGCCGGCTCGACATTTTGTTGGCATTGGGCATTATAGACCTTTTTTGGATCACCTCAAGACACACCGAAACGATCCGACACGTCCAAATCATAACGCCTCACTTACTCACTCACTCACTCCCTCTCTCTCTCGCCTATAGGAGCCTTGGTGCGAGCCATCCAACTACGCCGACGAGGCGGAGGGCCCTGAAGGGCCCACCTTGGGCTTCGAACCTTGGGCGTAGCGGGCAACCGGCGGTGGCCGCGGGGGAAACGCGGGACGTTCGGATCCGCCGTGGCCGGGGTCAACGGCCGCTCAATGCCCGCTGCATTTGAGGGGACGAGTATAGCCGTTGATCACGCACGGCAAGTCCGAGGTTCTTTTTCTAGAAATGAAAGGACTGATCAAGACCATTTCATGCCGCTCGATGTTTGGGTTTCACACAATATGTTTCGCCCACACACCGGGCGCTTCCTTCGACCATGGTGTTGGGTGCATCTTCATCGATGCCGCAAGCTGCCCAAGCACCGATCATGAGTTGTTCAGGAAGCGCTGCCCAAGCTGGAGAAGCTGATCCGACATTTGTTGGTGAAGTGCCCTGGTTTTTTCGGTGCACAACTTAACCGACTTAACCCATCACGGGCCCTGTGATTGAGGAGGATTTGGTGGTGGAGGAAGAGGATCGATTTGATTGGTGATTTGATGGTGGTGGGGATCGGACGCTGTTTTGGTTTGCAAGAAATGGGCATCTTCTGACAATGGTATCGCCAAATGTCAGAACCACCTGGATGACACAGTGCCCCAAACTATCTAGCCTAGTATCTAGCCTATCGGAAAGATTCGTATCTTGTTGCACATCCGGAGGCTCAACAGGAGGCCTCAGCATCCCAAATAGAGACGCTTTCTATCAAATAGCAACTGAATCCTAGTCTTCCAAATCCGGTCCATTTCGAAGACTCCAGCTCAGACACGGCCCTTCACAAGCCTTCCATGTGGGATACGTTCTCCAGTGACCAAGCATGACAAAAGCCAAGCAGGTATGAAGATGCCCCGATGGCCTTGGCTGGCGGCTTCACTTGGAGTGACGGCGCCGGCGGCACCTTGCGCGAGCGCGAGGGGCGCGAGGCAAGCATGGAGGGTGAAGCGGTCGGAGCTGGGGAGGCGAAGATTTGGGGTCACCCCAGGGCATATGCTGGCTATAAGATGTTTGGGTGAAGATCTTGCATCAGGGTATCAGACATTCGTGTTGTTACTGTTTCAATTGTTCAGAAGAGCGTTGTGCAGGCCATGCTTGTGTTTTTTGGTGCAGCCGCGGTTGTCCGATAGTGTTCGCTGGTGATTCGTGTGCTGCTTTCAACAACCAGGCAGTAATAAAGGAAATGGAGCAAACAACCAAACAAATACAACAACGGGCACTGGAGAAGGAGATGGCAGACATTCAGAGGAAACAAGATAAAGAGATGGCAGATATTCAGCGCCAGACAGAGAAGGAGCTGGAAGAGATTCGGAACTTCAGCTCCTGCGGCAGACAAGCACTGATGGCATCTTCATCATGTTTCATAATTTGTGCGCGCAATAAGTCTTGTTTGTATAATTCAAAATCCTTGACGCAAGACAGGATTACAGAGCTCGAGGGGATCAGTGATCTCAGAGGACAGAGGCAGAAAAAACAATGAATGCTCCAACTTGTTGATGTGTGGTGTTGATAAGGGGGTAAGGTGCTGGCAAAGAGGAGATCATGAGGAAGGGGTGCGGATCTTGGGATTAGCCATCCCATTTTCAGCCCACTTGTTGTGCTTTTTGCTAGTCTATGTCTATGTATTCTCAGATCTTTCTCGCGCTTTGTTGCTGAGAGGACTTCTTTCATGAACCACTGAAGAGCGACATCCAGGGTTGCAGGTCAAAATGACGTGCCGGGCGACTCCAACGTTCCAAGTCCGACTCCGAACTGACTTGTACTCGTACCGTAGCGGTTCATCCCGAATGACTCGCCGCTTCAAACAGGTAGTGCTTTGTAGCGCTAGCGGCATGAGCCTCTGCTTGCGCTTCATTCAGCTCTTTCGCGAGGCCCACCAGTGGTACCTGTGGTCACGGGGAAGGTCATATGTTTGAGAAAACCAGATGGTCAGACCATTCTCCCCAAACTAGACGGGACAGTTGACATGGAAAAGCACATTGAAATGAATAGGTGCAGAACAACCGTTTGTTGGATATTTGTTGGTTACAATTTGACAAAGTGATAGCTGGAAAGAGGCTGGGCATGCGGTGGGGCGATTGTGCATGATGCCCGCTGAACATGTTTGAACCTCCTTTGAATTTCAACTCCAGGGCTGGTACTCCAGTTTGGCTCTTGCTCGTGCATGTCAAATCATCCCAGGACTTTCAGAGGATCTTGACACCAAAAAGAGGACATGGCCAGACAAACGTCGAAGATCTTGGGGCAACATGGGTTGTAATATGATTCATGCAATTCATAGTCCTTTTGTATTGCCAGAATGTGCCTCCAGAGTCTGACTTCGAATTCTTGTGTTTTTGTTCAGGTCGTTTTTCAAGACACCAGCTGGAGGGTCCCTCACAAAGTGTTTGATTGTGCTGTAAAATCCGCAGCAGAATTGCGCTGCGGCCCGCTGTGGTGCCCGTGGGTTTGGAGGTCTTGGAGTCCTTTCCAAGCAATCAGAAGTGCTCCAGGTTTGCCAGGGCACGCGCAAGCCAGTTGCAGCTGCGCAGGCACGTGGTTGGGTAGCGAGAAACGTGTGTTTGTGTGTGTGTACGTGTGTGTGTGTGTGTCACCCCCTGTACCAAAGGGTTCAATGCCACTGTTTCCACTGCAACCACTCAACAAGGCAGGGGGACCAGGCATCTCGCTGCTGACCTGGTCTAACAAAGCTGGGCAGCGAGATGGGAAGCACTGAGAGACGTCTCAGTGTGTACCTGCTTCAACGTTTGACTAAGCTGTGACGCCAATTTTTCCTTGTTTGCTTCCATGGTGGTTTTCATGCTACTCCCCACAAACCCTTTTTCCACCGCTGATGTGCAGCCGCGCTGATTGATCTGCAGACACC